GGTTCAGGTCCGGGCAGTCACATGCGGGGGTGCTCGGGCCCACGGTGGGTCACCTCTTCCCAGCAGTGGCCCAGCTCAAAGTAGCTGTTACTGCATTGTCCTTGTCAGGATCAAGTCCGCTATAGCAGCAGAATTACGTAATACTTTTAAAAATGGAGAATATGACTTTTGACTTTTGCAAGAGCAGGTAAAGATTATTCCCAGGGGCTGTGTTGACTTCGTCGTGGTCACTCCAAGAGGAAGGTCTTCCATGCGTGCTCCCCAGGCGTGTGCGTGTTCTTTCCTAGTCTGGTCTGTCGCTCTTCATGGACACGTCTGTACCTTTGTCTCTCCCCATCAGTTTCCTTCCGTTTCTTCTCTTTACAAAGCTGTGCTTGTGAATTGCGATGGCTTCATATGCCACTCTGGCTGTGGAGAAAGTCCCTTGTCTTTTTCTTTTTTATTAACCACATCAGAACAGTCTTGTCTGCGGGTCAAATAATTAGAAGTTTGCTGTATTTTTACTATGTTGCAAAACATTTTTTACTCGTTTTATCTTGAATATTTTGCATCCCTAGGGGGGCACAGTTGTCAATATCCATTGATGATGTACTGTGTGACACATCCACAGGCACCGAGAGGCACCATGCCTTCATGGTGCTGACTCCCGTGTCACGTTCAGTCCTGCCACAGCCTCCGAATTGCTTTAAGGCCTGTGTCAGTCTCATTCTTCCTCATAAACCCAGCCAGCAGTCAGTTACGACCACCCTTATGACCTAATTAATCCTGACCACCTCCCCAAGGCTCCATCTCTGAATATTGTAATTGGAGTAAGTTTCCACCCAATTTTAAAACATGAACTTGGGGAGGAGGAGGCTTATTCAAACAATAGTATGTGGTTAATTTTAAGACTTCAAGTACAAAAATCAATATTTTAGCAAATATTTTGGGAGTGCAACATGCATTGTGGTTTAGAAAGTAATACTCTTTTCTTTTCCCATAAATATTCAGTTAATTCCATGTACCATGAAACTTCCAGAAAGACAGCCTGAGTTTTTCTTTTACTATTCTTTACTGGGGAATGATGTTACAAATGAACCCTTCAACGATTTGATCAACCCAAACTTTGAGCCAGAGAGAGCTTCAGTTCGTATACGCAGCAGTGTAGAAATTCTTCGCGTTTACCTGGCTCTTCAGTCTAAGCTACAGGTAAGTGCTGCAGCAAATCGTTTCTGTGGGTTTTCTTTTGAAGTTTCTTTATTGGGAGAGAGCGAGAGAGATGCAGGTGCCCCAACAGGCTGTCACCACACCGATTCTTCCCCAGGGGGCCAAAGGCACAGGTGTGTGGGCGTGCCCGCCATGCCGAGGGCCATGCGGGTCTGAGCCCAGCACCCATAGGGCTCCAGAGCTCACAGCAGTGCCCTCCACCGGGGCCACCGCCCTGAGCCCAGACGTGGATGTCTAAAATTGGCCTGGTGCCCAAGCCTGTCTTACTGTGGTAGTGGAGGTCTTTCTACCACATGTAACATTTTTTTCTTAGGTATTATTCTGAGTCATTGGCATTATAGCTGCTTCAGAATTGGGCAATAACACTTTACCCAGTTACTGATAAAAGAGTTACTTTAGTTACCAGTCTTTAAAAAAAACTTTTTTTAAAGTTTATTTCTTCCAGAAGTGAGAAAGAGAGAGACAGCCCGTCCCCAGCAGGGGAACTCGGAGATCCAGCCCCAGGCCCAGCCGGCCTTAGGTCACCAGCACACCCTGGCCCTGGGTCGCAGTCCTGGGTGGGAGAAGTCCCTGGAGCCACAGCTGAGGGCACAGGCTGCTCGTCAGCGGTACCCGTAGAGTGGCAGCTGTAGGCACACAGGCCTCGGTCCAGACAGCATCCAGCCCTTTTTACAGTGAAAGTAAAGAGCTAAGGCCACGTCCTAAAACCTACCCTCGTGTAATTTTTTGTAAATTGTTTTTACTTTTTTAATTTTATTTTTTACTATTGTTATCTTTAAATTTGCTATAGGGCACATACGCTCACCAGGGAGAGAGGGAGTGGGAAAGTGAAATAGCAAGCCACTTGGTCCAGGACTTGAACCATGGTCAGCCATGTGAAAATCCCGCTCCTTAACCTCCACACCACCTGCTGGCCCTGAAAATTGTTTTAAAATTGAACTCTTTAAAAATGAACCATCTCTGGGTCAGTAGGTGGTGCGGTGGTTAGGTGCTCCATCCCACATGCCTGACTCTGGTTCAAGTCTAATACCTGGCAGCTTGAAGGGCACACCAGGCTGCGGCGTGTGCCCAGGAGGAGAGAGCTGTACCATGGCCGTGGTTTTCACTCTCCCTTTCTCTGTCTCTCTCCAGCGAGCGTACGCACATTATGGCAAAAACAAAAAGAAAAAAAAGTGAACCTTACCTAATAAAAATCACTCTTATGATAATTGACTTAGTTCAGACTGAAATGGGATAGTGAAATACAGATTTAAACAGTCATTTGTTTCCTGTAATCTCAGTCATTAGGCTGCGTTTCATGCATTTTGGGCAGGAGGCATTAACAATTTTTACTGGAATTAAATTTCAGAGAGAGTTCTGCTAAACTCAACATTTTTACAAAATGAAGACTGTATAAAGAAAAATGCAGGAAAAATCAGTTTGAATTTTATTCTTTATTTAGTGTATCGGTTCCTACCAAAAATAGGAACTTTGTAGTCTGTTTCTAAGGAAAGACACTTAAGTCATGAGAATACCTTCTCTCTGGCCCATAAAGATATACTGCATGATGGCATTAGGGCCGTCTTACAGTCTGCCTTAACCTGCACTGCCGGCCCGAGCTGAGTGTTTGTAGACAGAGGGCTCGCTGTTTTCAAGGGCTTCAGCGGAGTCAGGGAAAAGAACACCTAGAAAGAACAGCCTGATTTTTTTTCTTTAAGTTGTCAAAAGATAGAAATGTTGAACTTTTGATTAACTATCATTTGTAACAGTCCATCCCAGAGGAATTCTTTTATCTTATACTTTAAATACTCCTTCTGTTTTATGTGTAAGGTCTGAAAAACACTTCAAGGTGTTTTATGGGTTAAAAAAAATTAAGATTTTAGAATTTCTTTTTTTTTTTTTGGAGAGGTTTTTGTTATAGGGTGTGTGCACTCGCCAGAAAGACAGAGACAGAAAGCGAGAAATCACCCCTCAGGGAGGATGGCCATGCTACAATCCCTTCTCCTCCATTCTCCTCTCAGGATCTTGGGCACGCACACACACGCCCAGCGTGAGTTTTAAGCCACCCGATCTGGGACGCGAACCTCAGTTGACTACATTGGAGTCCAACGACATAGCCATTATGCTAACTGCTGGTCCCAAGATTTTAGAATTTCAAATCAAGATCAATCTATTGATTATTTTTAGAGCCATATTTAAATTAATGTCAAAATGGGAGTAGAAAAGGGATTAAGGTTTTTGTTTTTTATTCAAATTCATGCATTCATCATTTATTCAGTTTGCGCATGTGAAATATTAAAGTAGCATAACTCACTAACGAGACAGAAGAAAGGATGATAACATGAGTGTACAACACTGAAAGGAAAAGTGAAAGTAATACTATTACTGAAATTATTAATAAACTTGGTGTTTTATCTTCACTTTTATTTTTTTTTTTGGAGAGGTTTTTGCTATAGGGCGCGTGCGCTCGCCAGACAGACAGAGACAGACATAGAGACAGAAAGCGAGAAATCACCCCCCAGAGGGGATGGTCATGCCGCAATCCCTTCTCCTCCATTCTCCTCTCGGGATCCTAGGCATGCACGCACACGCGCCCGGCATGAGTTTAAGCTACCGGGTCCGGGACGCGAACCGCGGTTGACTATGTGGGAGTCCAGCGACATAGCCATTACGCTAACTGCTGGTTCCCTTATCGTCACTTTTAACAGTTGTGTGAAAATTCAGTACTTAGTCACTGTAGGTCAGTAAGATACCCTGCATTGTATTTTCCTTCTGTGGCCCATCTTATCACTTTCTGTTAGATTTCTGGTGTCTGGAGAGAGGAACAGTGTAGAGCTCTCTTTTGTTTTCCTTTTCATGTCAGATCCATCTCTGCTGTGGAGACCAGTCTCTCGGAAGCACAGAAGTCCCTTTAACTGGATTACTGAAAAAGGGCAGCACAGAAATCAACCAGCGCCCAGTCACAGTGGAGGGTGCTTTCACCCTTGACCCTCCAAACCGAGCCAAACAGAAGCTTCCCCCAATTCCCTTGGAGCTGGCCCCAACCGTGGGCGTGTCCGTGGCTCTGCAGAGGGAAGGCACAGACACCCAGGCAAGTCGCGGCCCTCCTCCCGTCCTCCCGTTCTCCAGTGCCGCTCAGGATTGCTCTCAGAAGTGGCACTTGGAGACTTCCCTGGCATAAAGCAATAGTCATGGCTCCTAACTAGTGACCTATGGGATATGAAACCCTTTCTGGAAAGTGCTGTGGCCTCCACCCTTGCCGTGTGTAAGTGACGGTACCCAGAGCTCTCCTAGCCCTCGGTACTGTCTGTGTGGTGGAAACCGTTCTTCACATCCCTGCTCATAGTCCTCTACTCGGCAGAGAGGGGACGGTAGAGAGAGAACATCTTTAGGCCTACTTTCTGGGGATCCTCACTAGGTGTATCTTTTTGGTTGACATAGTCTGAGCTAAAATAAGGTTTGTAGTGGTCATATTGTCTTCAGGCAGTTTTCGCAACAGAGATGCACACTCTGTATATGTTTTTAGACTATATCTGTTCTCAGAACATATCTTGTATCTTGTTCTCTCAAAGAGTCAATCTTTGCATCTTTGCGTAGGTCTTGAACTAAAAATAGTAGAATGGAAATGAGAGTTTGAAAGATAGATATGCATATATTTTTAGGGTGAATCAGAGTGAAGGAGAGACAGAAATCATTCTAGACTTGGTTTTTTTCTCAGGGTATAGCCCCGTTCGTGCTGCCTTGGTAGGAATACTCATTCCTGGGGACACCTGTGCCTGCTTTTCTCAGATATCTTTTCTTACTCATCAGGATATATTCTGTACCAGCTCAGAATATCCTCTTTCCTTCCTGTTCATCTTCCGTTTTCTGGTCTTAAGTGCTGTGAGAAAATGTGCAAATTATGAACCAAATAGACTAGAAATATCCAAACTGAGAAAGGGAGCTTGTATTTAAAAAACAAAACAAAACAAGTTTTTTTGCTTAATTATGAAAGAAAGTTCTTTGCAAATTATACTTTATTTAAAAATTGTTTTTAGTCTTTAATTGAGATAAAGACCCAGCGTGAATGTGAGCCAGAGCATTCAAGGAAGAGAGCTTTAACCCCCATAAAGGAGAAGTCACTCACTGGGCCCAGATCGCCAAGCGTGTCGTCCCCTGTTCCACCTCCCAACCCATCACCGCCAGCGAAAGATGATGCCACGGAAAGCGAGGTGGAAAGCTTACAGTACGACAAGGACACAAAGCCAAACCCAAAGGGTAAGGCGCTCCTTTACAGACCTCTTAACTACTGGGTTTGCAGCCATCCAATAAATGACTGTGACTGCTTTCACGGGTCCTACATAAGAATCGTGGATTTTTTAAGAACCAGTAATGTTTAACAGTATTTAAAAACTTCACTTTAAAGTAATTGTCATGGGGACCAGCAGGTTGCACAGTGGTTAAGGTGCTGGACTCCCACATGGCCAAGCATGGTTCCACTCCTTAAAACTCATGCGGGGCGCGTGTGCGTGCGTGCCTAAAATCTCAGAAGAATGGAGGAAAAGGGACCACAACATGGCCATCCCATCTGGGGAGTGATTTCTCACTCTGTCTCTCTGGCAAGTGCACGTGCCCTGTATCAGAAGTTTCTAAAAAACCATAATGGAGTAATTGCCATCTGTAACTTCATAATAGAATTTTCTAAATTAAGATGAGAGGATTTTTCATTTTACTTTGACATTGGAGGCTTCTCGTTCAAACAAAATGAAAGAATATTATTTTTTTAAAAACAATTTTTAAACTATTAAATGAATATTTTGAAGTCACTGAAATTTTAGGGAAAAGAGTAAACTCATATGTCTTCTTTTATGCTCAAGGTTAATCGAGTCTGAGAATACATGTCTATGTGGTTTTATGACATGTTTCCATTTATTGCACAGGGGTCTGTAGTAACAGTTAACAGTGTTATTGGGTCGTTGGGAAAGTCATGATGCACCTTTGCATAGAAAACGGTATAAAAATATGTCATGACTTCCCGGCGACCTAATAATTGGTGCAGGATGGAGTCAGAAGTTGTGTGGGAGTCCCGCTGAGTCGCTGTGCAGCCTGGACCGCTCACGAAACATCTCAGGTTTATGGTAGGGTTGGAAGGACTTGACATCTGTCTGTCCAAAAGTTGTTAGATTATTTCGTATGTGCCTAAAGTGAGCAAAACTCCTTTTAAAAAGGAATGTAAACCTGTGGTAACCCTCAGCTGTAACCCTTTGAATGCTGAGTGTTGTTCTCTCCTCCTGGCAGTATGTTAATTCCTGCCAGGCTGCAGGGATCCAGGATTGCTTTTCTGTGTGTTTCTGCATATGGCGAAATGTGTTGAAAGTAAGCTCTCTTTACACAATTCTAGAATAGGAATTTCAGGCTAGGTAATTTGGGCAAGTCGCTTTTAAGATGCATATGCCTCACTTCAAATGTTCATAAAACAAAATAGTCCCATGTCTTGCTTGAAGGTAAATGAAGTAATAGCTTTAAATGACCCGAACAGCTTAAAAGAAGCGGTTAACCAAAAGAAGTACTGTTGTTTCTATTTCACGTTCATTTTATGCTTAGCCATCAGCTCTGTGCCCGCTTCAGGGGTCCAGCCAGTGAATGCCTCCCAGGCTTCGGAAACGACTTCAGGACAGAAGATTGCTGTGCCGGCAACCTCGCATCATTTTTGCTTTTCAATAGACTTACGGAGTATCCAAAACTTGGAAACTGCTTTTCCAATCAACTGTATATTAAGGTGTGATTTGATTTTGTTTCAAAGTATTGTTTTCTGAGGAGAAATGCCTTTCCACTGTGTGGGGAGTTGCAGAGAGAGATGTCACCAAGAAGTTATAACGTGTGTTAAATCGTTGGACTGAAGGGGTAAGGCTATTTCCTAATGTCTTTGAAATTAAGCTAGAGTGGCGTTGGTGGTATGAGAGGTGACAGACATAGCTGTTCAGGTATAACAGCTGTAGGTGTTTTTAGTAACTTACTAATATTGGCATTTAAAATACACTGGCTCTTGGATTTTCAAGATGGCTTTTTGTTTTGTTTTGTTTTCTTTTTTCCACCCCGGGAAAAGATGCTACAGGTCAAAGTAATGTGTGATACCTGATTTTTCAGTAAAGCTGTATTATATAATGGGAACATTCCAGTACCTAGATCTCACAGCTGTGAATCTAAACACCACACTTACTGAGCTATAAATGCAGTGTATTCTTACTGTCAAGTATAAAGAATTATGGTTTGGGGCAGCCCGTGGTGTGGTTAGGCAGCTGGATCCCACATGGCTGACTGTGGTTCGAGTCCTGGATCCAGTGGCTTGAAAATCACTCCAGGCACATGAGCTTGCCTGCCCACAATCTCGAAAGGAGGGAGAGATGGAGAAGGTGGTCACGCTGTGATTCCTTTCTCCCATAGGGGGTGTTCTCTCACTTTCCTTTTGTCTCTCTCTCTGTCTCTCTCTGGCAAGTGCACATGCCCTCTGGAAAAAAGAAATTTAAAAAATAAAACTGTGTATGTTTGTGTGAACATGTCAGTTAAGTGGTTTTACACGATAAATTGTTTTTAATAATGTTACATTTTCATAGACTTGGCAGAGCAGTGAAATGAATGTAATACAATAAGGTGTTTACTTTGGAGTGCTTTCTTCTCTTGAATTGCTTTGGAGCCCTCATTAGCACTGAAAGGAAGTTGCTGATCTTCAGTGTTTCAAGGGAGAAAATCTGTTCTCGAGGACTGTCATTGCTGAGTCTCAGCAGCCACACTTTGCGTCCTGCTGCTGTTTGTGGCGTACCTGCCTTCTAAGGGGATAAGTCAGCTCATACGTCTGCGCGTTGGCTGTCTGCTTCCTTGTCAAGTCACTCTCTGTGCGTTGGTGTGAATAAGGGGCAGAAGCCGAGGGTCCCAGCACGAGTGTGATCATGGATTCTTAGTCTGTCCATCTCAGCATCAAGTCTGTAGTCGACCTCATATGAATGCTGAAAATCATCACTAAAATGTTCTTATTTAAAAATCAAAGATGGAAAGGAGGGGCTGACCCTGTAATGCAGCAGTTAAGTGCTCTGTCTAGGGAGCCCGATCCCACATGGCTGACTGCAGTCAGGGTCCCAGCCCCAGAGGCCTGAAAAACACTCTGGGTGCGTGTGTGTGGACGTGCCCCCAATCCTGGGGGGATGGAGGATGGAGAGAAAAGGACTGTGCGTGACCACGCCCCTTGGGAGTCTCTCTTTCTCTCTCTGTCTCTCTCTCTCTCTCTGTCTCTCTCTCGGTGCACACATGCCCTCTGGGAATTAGAAGGAGAGAAAGCACTCTCTCAGAGCCTTAGCTTTTCTCAAAAGGTTTGTTTGAAAATTCCTCTCAGAAATTAAATAATTCTTAGTCTCTAGTCTCTAGTTTTTTTTCCTTATCTCCTTTATTCTTTTAACTGAGTTCTCTCTTCTGCTGCTACCAGAGAATCTGGCCTTAGGCTTCCTGAACAAGATGTTGGCCAGAGCCGTAGGGACCCAGGGACGAAGGGACGACCTAGAGTTGATGCTGTGAGGGGGAAGCCTCGGGTGAGCACATTGGGAAGTGCTGATTCCAGTTTTTGTGTTTATCTCTTGTCGTTGGGACCATTTGTTTAAGCACTAAGCCCCTACATTTTGCCAGCAGTGTGCCCAGTTCTAGGGGTACGTGAGTCATTAAACAGAGCTCAGCCTGAGCTTAGAGGAAGGCAGAGCCAGAAGTACAGGTTGGTGTATGAGCGGAGCCGGGGCTCACTGGCAGGGAAGAGAGGAAGTGACATTCTAAACCGAGGCAGCGTGTCCTTAGTGGCCATGGAGGAGTCCCTTGGTAAGAATGCTGGTTCTGTCATTCATTTTTAAAACAAGTCTGGCCATCTCATTTTTCCTTAGTGTGGTCTATTTTATATTCTGTATCGGGGTGACATAGTAGTTGGCAGCTGTGTAATGGGAATTTGTGAGTAAGATGGGTATTTGGAAAAATATAATCTGTAAGACTTAAAAAAGTTCTTTTTCTTAATCACTAGATCTTGTAATGAGGTGGTAGGGTGTTAAAATTCCAGAGTGTGAATTGAAATGTCTTGATTTCAGTGGGTGCGTAATTCCTCAGGAATTGGGTAAATGCACAGGATTTTTATAGGAAAGGCAGTTTTTACTCACAGGGTTTAAACTTCAGCTTTTTATGTGAATAGTGAGATACAGGATGAAAATTTAGGTGAGCATTATAGTATCTTTCTATTTGGCTTTAAATATAAAGTAAGCTGGGCAGTAGTGAGGCCTGGTTTCGTTTAACGTACTCTGGTTTTTACGGTGGAGAGAGAACCGTCACTCCGGCTCATTCACAGTACACATGCGCTGCTTGCACTGATGGCTCGTTCAAGGGCAGATCGCTGTGAATACATCCTTTTGAGGTTGACTAAGGTCGCTTCAGTCCATAGAAAAGTCAGGACACTATTTTATATAGTGAACTAGATTTAGAAATAGAATGTTGCGAGCATTTCTTGCATGTTTCACTATTGGCAAAAACTGATGGCTTGTTTTGGGCAGTGCAAAGGTGAGAAAGGGAAGATTCGTGCCCTCGAGGGACTCATGAACAGCTGACAATGCAGTATTCCTGCAGTTTTTAGTTTTAAGAAATGTGGTTTGCTGTTAATGCTCACATTATGCTTTTTTAAAGAACAGACTCTAAATCTCACCGATAAACTGTATTAGAATTTTTATGTTTCTTAAATTCTAGGTACTCATACCCATTCTTTGGAAGTGCTGCTCCTATTCTGACTAACCCTCCTGTAGAAGTTCGGAGAAACATGGAGGTTTTCCTTCCCCAATCTTACTGTGCATTTGATTTTGCAACCATGCCTCACCAGCTGCAAGATACTTTCTTAAGGTAATTTTACGTGCTGTTGTATTTTCTTCATTTCTTAAGTCAACTCTTGAACATGTCTATATTTTTACTTTTAAGGTTTTTGCCGTTGGATGTGCACACTGAGAGAGATAGAGAGAAAGTGAGAAATCATTGCTCCTCCTCCCAGCTTGGGTGATGGCCACGCTGCATTCTTTTCTCCGTCCTCCTCTTGGGATTTTGGAATGCATGCACATGTGCCCGGTGTGACTTTCAAGCTGCCAAGTCCTGGACTCAAGTCCCAGAGTCAGTCATGTGGGAATCCACCATGTTACCTGCTGGTCCCTGAAATTTCTGTACCATTACAAAGAGAAATTTCTCGGGCCACCTGGTGGTGAGGAGGTTAAGGCAGCTGGCTCCCACGTGACCAACTTCATGGTTCAAGTTTGTTTGTTTGTTTTAAGTTTTTTTTTTTTCCCCCTGTATAGCAGTGCTTAAAGGAGGTTGGGGAGTGGAGAGGGAAA